TGTTTGTGCTCCATTTCTAGGGACTTGTCCCCTACTTAGCCAGGGACATCCTTGTCTCAAGGATCATCAGGATTTCAATAGCAGGAATGCAAAGAGAAGTAAGAGTCACTGCTAAGCACCTGACAACCCAGTTAGAATTCCTGAGTCCAGAGGGACCGTGAAAGCCAAACTGAGAAGAAAAAAAAAAGATTTCCTAATCCCAGGAAGAGAGAATTCCTCCCATTAGTCCATTGCCTGGAGGAGTGGGAGGAAGAGGGGAGAAGGGTCTCCCCGACACTGGGAGAGGAGCAGGGGTTTCTCAAAGGCTGAGGGCCATAGCCTGCTCTAACTCAAGCTTTGTGAGGCTGGTCTGGGGGTGGGGGGAAGGCTCTGGAGGCTCTGGAGGCTCCCCAAGCACCATTGTCTAAGAAGGGGGAGATCACACACCCTGGGGTGACTAAGGGCTGCAAAAACACAAATTGTTATAAAACCCCAGGACCCTTGCACAGCCCTGGGGTGAAGGAGAAGCTCATGAATGAAAGAGACTAGAGCTTGCTTGAGGGGCTCCTGAACACAATTATTTTAAGAAGAATAAAGGAATATGACAGTCCTCGGTAGTGTGGAGAGTAATTGTGCCCAAAGTCTGGGTTACAGTCATGGTTGAGTATGAAAAAGGCTGATTAGCTCACAGAAAATGGAAGGAAGTGGCAGAGGGTTGATGTACTCTGGGGAACTGAGGTTTATATAGGTTCTCCTTAGGCTTGTCCTATGATCCAGGGGCATCACCTTAACTTCCAGTCCTTCTCAGATGATAGCAAGGATTAGGGTTAACAAACATTAAAGTCAGAGTCTCTCTAATAGGTTAGGACATTTGTCTGCATCAGCCACGTGCCCTCAGATGTTAGTTTCTCAGTCCTGGCTGGGGAACTGCTTCCCTGCGCCCCACTCTCCTCCGCCTGAGCTGTGTGCACTCCTGCAGCAAAAGGCAGGAAGGTTGTAGGTTGAGGCCCCCTGATTTGCTTAGTACAGAGTTCACTGAACTCAAAACCCAAGCCATCTGGGCATGAATCCAACCCAGGCTGTGCCAAACGGTGTTACTAGAATGCTCGGGCTTGGTGCCAGCCATCACTGGTGCAGGAGAGGAGCTCGGCCTCAGGAGCACAGGTCTTGGGTTGGACGCAGGTGAGACGTGAGCCCACGGCCTCTCCTCCAGGCACCTGGGGCAGTCTACACAGCGCTCAAGCTGCTGCAGGTAAGATACTCAGCCCGCTCCACCCCTGCTTGCTGGAGCGCCGGGGGAGGACAGGCGGGTCGGCAGAAGGTCCTGGCTGGCTGGTCACACTCACAGACCGAGGACATGGACAACGGGAATATCCCAGGGGAAGGAGAAGAGCGGGAACGCTTATTCTCGAGTGTACTTTTTTCTTTGAATATGAAAGTGGGACACTTGCAAACAGGAATGTAAGACAGAACAACGTAGTCCGCTTTTCAGTGTATTTCTTTGCAGACTGTTAGTCCAGCCTGACAGAGGCTGCGAGGTTGCAGAAGAACGAGCTTGTCTGCTTTGCCGTGAAGCCTGTCAGAGCGACCATGGTCAGGAAGACTTCCCTAGTGACCGTGGGCTCCTGCTCGCCGAGAGCAGACCAGATTGCGCATGACAGGTCTTCCTACACCGCCCCGAGTTTTCACCGTGAGACTGAGGATTACAAGAGACTTGTGTGCAGCACCGTGAAAACAATCATCTCGCGGGGAAGCCAAGTCTTGGAGGGAAACCATTCATCGTTGCTCACTGCTGACCCCTAGTGGTGGGAAGCGGCAGG